GGGCCGGAGAAATGGCGCGGGTTCGAAGGCGCGGGAGCGTTCGCGGCGGAGGCGGCGCTGAGGTGAGGGGGGGGCGGCCGGGCCCGGGGGCTGCTCTGGTGCGTGTGGGAGGCCGGGGGTGGGGGTTTGGTGCCGCGCCGAGGTGTAGGGCTTGCGTTAGGGGGAACGGGGGGTGCGGGCGTCAGGGCCTGGTGCGGGTCTGAGGTGTCTGTGTGGGCTGGGGGGGCGGGTTGCTGGGCCCAGGGCCTGGCGTGGTGTTGGGGTGGGTGCGTGAGGGCTGTGGGGCCCCGGACTGGGGGGGTTTATGCGGTGCTGAGGTGCACCAGGCCCCTCGTACCGGGGGACCAGGCCCTGGTGCCGGGTCAGGTGCGGGGAGGGGACTTCTGGGGGTCGTGGGGTGCTTTGGTTAGGTGTTGGGGGGTGGGAGAGGTGTGGGGTGCTGGGGCGAGGGGCTGGTGTCCCAGCAGGGTGCCTGTGGGGTGCTGGGATGGAGTGAGGCAGTACTGAGGTGCGGGGTGCTGGGGCGAGGGGCTGGTGTCCCAGCAGGGTGCCCGTGGGGTGCTTTGGTTAGGTGTTGGGGGGTGGGAGAGGTGTGGGGTACTGGGGTGAGGGGCTGGTGTCCCAGCAGGGTGCCTGTGGGGTGCTTTGGTTAGGTATTGGGGGATGGGAGAGGTGTGAGGGGCTGGTGTCCCAGCAGGGTGCCTGTGGGGTGCGTTGATTAGGTGTTGGGGGGTGGGAGAGGTGTGGGGTGCTGGGGCGAGGGGCTGGTGTCCCAGCAGGGTGCCCGTGGGGTGCTGGGATGGAGTGAGGCAGTACTGAGGTGTGGGGTGCTGGGGTGAGGGGCTGGTGCCCAGCAGGGTGCCTGTGGGGTGCTGGGATGAAGGTGTGAGGCCTTCCTGAGGTGTGGGGTGCTGGGATGAGGGGCTGGCTGGGAACTGGACGATGGACATTTTGGGAAGAGGTACAGGTGGCTGGGGCTGGCAGGGGAGAGCTGCTCTGGGAGGAGCTCTCTGTGGGATCCTTGGGATTGCTCCCCCAACGTGTGCTCGTGGGCCCTCCTGCCCGTGGTGTGGCCTTATCTCATCTTCTCCCTTTCACCTCCACCTGGTATCTTCTTTCCCAGGTACCTGCAGGCTTCTCATTGTTGCCCTGTGTCTCTAAGGACATTGCCTGCCTTCCCTTGAAGTTCCCCTCTGCCAGCACCCCTCTGTGTTGAGGTTGTACACCGCCCGTGGCAGCTCCTGGCTCGATTCTCCGCCACCACTTGTGTCCCTGGGCACAACAACAGCTTGTCATGTCTGGGCTGTCACCAGTCACCGCTTCCCCAAACCCAGCAATGCGTTAAGGCGCGAGGGTTAGGAGGAACTTCCCCCTGCTGGCAGATTATTGAATAAATTTATTCTTCATGGTGTTCTAGCAGTTTATGAATATTTAGTATTCTCTCTCTTGGATACAGGATATTTGTTTACACATAGCACAAAAGCGAATGTTGTACAGTAATTATCTCAAACTGGATGAGACGGAACAAACACTGTTGAGTGTGGAACAAACATCGTTGAGTGTTAAACTGATTTAAACGGCCACTGTGTTAATGAAGGCCTAAAAAAGTGTGGTTTATGGTACTTGGCAGGGAGGGAGCTGGGAGGGAAACTACAAGTCTGTTGGGTAAAGGGCTCTCTCAGCTGGAAGGTAAATGCCAATGTGAAATCCTCATGGGAATAAACTGAATATAGGTAGGAGCAAGCAGGTTTCTAGGAACTGGGTCAGTGAGGTCTGGAATGAGCTTTGCGGGAGGACTGCCAGACAGAAAGGAAAACTCATTTCTGAATTATCTGTCTCCGTTTTAGAAGAAGGATTTTAGGATGCATTTGTTCACGATGACAGAATTGGACTTGACCTGGAAGGTCCCTTCTGTGTGCTCTCATTTTATGGCTTATGCTTGACCGAAACACAGCCCTGCGTTGCTTTTGTCTTTGTTGTGCCCAAACTTCTTCCATCCAGTGTTTTAGAATCATAGAATCATTTAGGTTGGAAAAGACCTTTAAGATTTTCTTCCTACTCCCTGACCTTCTCTTCCTTCTTTATTAAGTATTTTTGTTTGGTTTGTTTGGTTTTTATTGGAAATCCATTTCAAGCTATTAAAATTGTGTTCTTCTAGGCGCTCTGGTGAAGACATGGCAGCTGCTACCCCGCAGAAAAGGAGCCGTAGTTCTGATACCGATGGGTATGTTAACTTTTAATAGATTTTCTTTTTTCTAATAAAACCAACTTAATTGTTGCACATGGAATAAAATTAGATGTTTAAAATCATAGAATGTTTTGGGTGGGAAGGGACCCCTAGAGGTCACCCAGCCCAACCCCCTGCAGGAGCAGGGACACCTTGAACCACATCAGGTTGCTCACAGCCCCGGCCAACCTGGCCTGGAATGTTCCCAGGGATGGGGCCTCCACCCCCTCTTGGGGCAACCCCTGCCAGGGTGAAAGAATTTCTGCCTTAGATCCAGTCTAAACCTCCCCTGCTTCAGTTTAAAGCCATCCCCCCTTTGTCCTGTCCCAGCTGGCCCTGCTAAAAAGCTTGTCCCCCCCTTTCCTCTGGGCCCCCT